AAAGCTGCATCTCATGAATATTTGAGAGCAAGGAGAGAAGGCCAGGGAAGGCGCCTACATGCTCCAGGGGCTGGGAAGCTGTCACGCTGGAAGAGGAAACACTCTTTTGTGAACCTCAGGTTAAAATTGTGGCAGTGGTGGGAAGCTCAGACAGCACATTTCAGTTGAAAAGAAGGACTTTTCTGTTAGGTCCGTTCAGAAGAGGACCTGGCTCAGAAAAGCAGTGGTGAGTTCCCTGTCCCTGGAGGTGTGTAAATCAAGGTTGGATAGAGTGGCTGGGGCGGGGGGGAGGAGGTGTTGGACAAGACAGCCCTGACGGTAACCTCTCTCCCTGTGCAACTGCGTCCACGTGAGACCAGCTGACAAGGGCCCTCAGACAGGCAGCTGTAGGTAAATTGGAAGTGAGGGTTTGAATGGCACCCACAAGGGGTCCCACCTTGAGGTGCTGGTGGTCCTCTTGATCTGAGGCCTGGGGTGGGAGGGCCTGGGTCTGGTTGGGAGAGCCCAGCTGCAAATAGTGCCTCCCCCCTCCTCCCTCTCTGGGTTCCCCCCGTACTGTGCCTCAGGACCAGTCTGTGCGGGGCCTTTGAGCTAGGAATAACAGTGGCAAAAAAGGTGACCACACGTGCAGGACACTCGCTTCTGGAGTTAAAGATGGACCCAGTAGGACACCATCATAGGCCGACAGGTTCCGCTTACAGCAGTGTCAGGGTGAAGGAACCAGAGTAAGGCTTGAGAGGAAGGCCAGCAGCAGCGCCAGTCCCCGGCTGGGCTGCAAACCCAGAGCTCCTGGGCTTTTCCAGGGTTTGACCGTCTGTGGCTCCACCTGGCCCAGGATGCGTCCTCCTTCCTTCATGTTGGGATAGCTGGGCCATTCGTGTATGTGGCTTTAGAGGCAGCTTGCATTTTAAATGAGGACTCCTATTAGGAAAACACACTTCACGTGGGACCTTTTCCCACCCGCAGGAAATCCAGATCCAGATCCAGATCTGGACCTGGCCTGGCCGAGGCAGGCTCTCCTCCCCCGGGAGCGCCTCTCAGGTGTTTGAGTCTCCTCTGTAAGGATGGCACTGAGGGGAAAGATGTAGCGAAGCCGGGGTGACAGGAGACACGGCCCTGCCTCCCATTGACCAGGTGACCTTGCTATGGGGCAAGTCCCTAGGAGCCCCATGTCTTCATCTGGAAAATGGGAAGATAATCCTCACCTTGGGGGTTGTGGGAAGTAAATGGGGCAAAATACTTGAAATGCCTGCCACATAGTGGAAGTCAATGCCAATTCCAATTCAGAAGTCAGGTTTAGGTATCCGACCGCCCGGATTCACTTCCTAGCTGCATAGCCCCGTGCCGGTTACTTCATCTCTCTTGGGCTCCATTTCCTCATCTGTAAGAGGAGCGTAATGAGAATACCTACCGCATAGGGCTGTGGTTCCCAAACGGTGTGCCAAAGCACCCCAGGGTGCTGCACATGTTCCCAGGGGTGCTGTGGGAAGTTAATTCATCTGGAGGAAAGACAGCCGTCCTGAACAGCTGCCAGACACCACCACAGCTGTTAGCTCAGGATAACTTTCGATTTCAAAATCGAAAAAAAATCACATGATACCCCGCTTTTTCCCTTCACACACCATCCTCTCTCTGCAAAGGTGGGAGGTGAGCATTTGGAAGGACTCAGACAGACGATGGGTGGCAGGGGCGGGGGGGCGGGGGGGTCCAGTCTGTTTGCAAGACCTGAGAAGTTGTGCCGTGTGCAAGCGGCAAGCACATTCCCATTGCTAGTCTCTGTGGCTGTTTAGGAGTGGAATACAAATCTTATTTTTTCTTTCAACTTACGGGTGTTGTTTTTTCAGATGGCTGCCAGGTTGTTAGCACGCACACAGACACAGACACACAAGCTGTTTGGATCTAACTAATAAACAGAACCACTAGGAATTTCTCTTGGCCTTGGGGTAAAAATTAACCAAGACACTAAAGACCAAAGACGTTTTGGAAGCTCTGTGTGGGTTGTTGCGGGACCCGGTGAGTTCGTAGGAAAGCATGAGGCAGAGGAAGGCCCCGGGGACCCTGAAACTCCATCACTCTTCTTCCTCCAGGCTGGCCCCTGCAGGACAGGCTCAGGCCACCCTCAGCCGGGACGCCTGTGGAGTCTCCCTGGGCCACGAGGGCCCAAGGCAGGGCCAAGGAGGAGGAGAGGTGTCCAGCCTAGCTGTTCGCCAGGACTGCCCCGCCCCACTTTTATTTAATTTGCATTCACTGAGCACCTACTCCATGCCTGGCAAGCATCTAGTCTGCCCGTGGTCCGCCTGGGGAGGGATTCTCAGGTCAGACCTGATCCTTCTTGTCTCCCGGCAGCATCTGAATCCAGCACGCCTGCCTTGGGGGCTGGGGACGCTGCAAGGGGACAGTGGCTACGTCAAGAGCCACCCCCCCTGCACTGCTGTGCCAGAGAGGCACCCGTGAGGATGCCTGGCCGCAGTCCTGCCAAGGCCAGAGAGGAAGCTTCATGCCAGGGTGGAGAGGAGGGCTGGGGCAGGGAGGGCAGGCCCAGGGGCCGCCAGACCCGGGCCTACTGCACTAATGGATGTCTAATGTTTACTTTGCTCAGCCGCGTCTGCGCCTGCTTTATAAATGAGCCGCATTAGGGTTATAAAACAAAGTCATAAATACAGCCTGCAGTGCCGCAGAAAGCCAGGGCAGCCATCACCTGGGGGCTGCATGTTAGAAGGTAGAGGTAGCAGGCACCTGGACCCACAGGCTCCCACATACCTTCTCTGGGGCTGCTACCCCCCCAGGGGGAGGCCTGGTTCCCCCCCATTTCACAGATGAGGTGCCTGAGGTCAGTAAGGGCTGCAGTCTCCCCAGGCCTGAGACTAAAGCAGGGTGCTGGCAGTGTGGGGTGGGCACGGAGCCTCGCTGGTGCTCTGCTGCCCACATGCCACTGGGAGACCCAGTGCCCAGTTACCCAGGCACTGTTTCATCTTGCCATCAGCTGCCCAAGCTCCCAGACCCTCAGGGTGGCCAGTCTTCTAACCTCCAAAGAAGGTGTGTCTCCCTGCCTGGCCGAAGGATGTGGGTGTGGAGAAGCTCTGGAATCCTCAGTGCTATTCCCAGGGTAGCTACCCACAAGCCTCGGTGAGACAGCTCTTAGAGTTGTAGGGTCCTGGCTGGTGTCTGGATCTATTAGGATTCTCAGATGCAGGGACACTCACCATGTTATGGAGCTACTCCAGTGACACGCAGTGTGGGGTCCTGGGTGGCATCCCAGACACTGGAATCTGTTTATCGGGTTCAGACCCTGGCTCTGTCTCTTGCTAGCTCTGTGCCCTAGAACAAGTTTTTTAGCCTCTCTGAGCCTCAGTTTCCCCCCATATAAACTGAAGACTTGCATAAATACCTTATAGGGCTGTTCCAAGAGTTAGGTAAGTTAGCTGTGTAAACTACTAAAAACAGAGCACCTAATGTGAGGCAAGTGTTTGTTGCCATTTTCATGCCACAACTTGCACCTGCTATGTGCTAGGCCCCTCCTGGGCACCCTTGCTTGTCTAGCTCATGTGGTCCTCAAAACAGCCTTGGGGAGGGTGTTTACCTCCCTGCCACCTTCAGAGACAAAGTAACAAGCTCGGAATTAAAGGGCTGTCCTAGGACCACACAGAATATGCTAGATGGAGCTGGATTGACACCTTCTGGCTGGCTTCCCCTTTGCTCCTGCAGGTGGCACACAGGCAGCCTACCCGCGACCCAGCACCCAGAGCCAGCGACAGCCTGTGCATGCTCTCAGAGCCCCTGCAGCCCCCCGCCCCCACCCTTAGCAGGAGCTCCGGGGTCCCCAAAGGGATGGCACAGCTTGGGCATGCCAGGCACACTTTGTTCATTCTGCTCTTGGAGAATGGAGTGTCCCCTTGCCCCCTTTGTGCATCGGGAGCTCCCTAGGGCCAAGCATGTCCCATCGTGGCCTCCTGGGACCCCACCCCACTTGAGGGACTGGAGTGCTGGAACAGTGACAGGCCACAGCTGGCAGTGAGGGGCTGGGCAGATGCACACCCTGCAATTGGATTCATTCCCTCTGGAGCTTCGCAGAGGAGGACAGCCCCCCCCCCCCACTGCTTGTCCCAGCCACCTGACTGTTTGACGCTTTGTGTTGGAAAGTCAATTTTCCTAAGTGGACAGTGGACCAATAGGCTGGCCTGGCCTATTTTCCCTCCCTCCTGGCGCTGGAAGAGGCCAGCCCCTCTCCCTTCCTGTTTGTCTCACCTCCTGAGGCGCTGCTCTTTCCAGGGGGCAGGCGGACCAGGGTTCCCATTTGGCCCCTGGTTGGGGAGGACGTTGTTGAGACCCCAGGCTCTGCAGTTTCCTTGTCTGTTGTCAGGGTGGAGGGTGTGGGTTTGGCCGAGGTGGGAAAGGCTAAGGCGTGGGGCAGAGACACGGCTGGGGAGGTGGTCTCCCCCTCTATGCTGCGCCTGCCTTGGGTTTTCTGGAGGAGGAGGCCCTGTTGGAGGGCCAGGCATCAAGGAATCCAGGCCCCATGCAGCCATCTCACATCACCCCACCTTATGCCTCTGCGGGTCCTGGCTCGTCTCCCCACTTCCATCAGCTGGGGCTGCAAAGGGCAGCTGTGGCTTCAGGGCAGAGCTGGCCTGCTTTGTGCTCCGGCCTCAGCCCCATTCCAGCCCTCGTGGATGGGGGCATCACTGTCAGCAACTGGAGGGTAGACTCAGTAGGTCCAGTGCAGGGGACACTGGGGAGGGCTAGAGGGGTCTCCTCACCCAGATGGGTCACTTCAGCTCTCCAGGCCACTCTGACATCTCTGTCTGTAAAGAAAGAATCACCCAGCATTATAGAGCTAGGACTGGCTCCAAAGCACAAACTCTTAAAAGCTGGGTGGGCTGGGGAAACCAAGGCCCCCAGGAGTGCCAGACCTTGCCCAGGTCACAGCGCCGTCCTCCCTGGCGTCCAGCTGCCCACCCCTCCTAGCCTGCAGCCTCACGAAGCCTACCCTCCCTCTGCAGGCACTGATTCTGGCAGCGAGGTGCTCCCTGACTCCTTCCCGTCGGCGCCGGCCGAGCCCTTGCCCCACTTCCTCCAGGAGCCCCAGGACGCCTACATTGTGAAGAACAAGCCCGTGGAGCTGCGCTGTCGCGCCTTCCCCGCCACGCAGATCTACTTCAAGTGCAACGGCGAGTGGGTCAGCCAGAATGACCACATCACGCAGGAGGGCCTGGATGAGGCCACTGGTGAGCCTGCCTCCCTGGTTTGGTCACCCCCAGGACGCTAGGGCAGGCCCCGGGAGGTGCCATGCCAGGGACACTGTGTCCTGGGCCTGGCTCCACTCTGGGCTCCGTGTGGGACCTCACTCGGCCATGGCAGCCCCCTGGGCCTCAGTTTCCCCTCTGGGATTCATCCTGGATCAGGATCTCCCCAGTGGTTGGCCACATGTCCCAGTCTGACTTTGGTTCACAAAATGCAAGAGCCCCGAATCCTTGCTGAGTGCTCATTGCCATTTCTGGTTTCTCTCCATCTCCGGCCTACATCAGGGAGCAGTCTGGGGCAGGGCTGGGTTCTTACAGGCACACATGCATGCACACCTCAGCCCCTGCTACGCTCCCTGTGTGACGGAGAGGAACTGCCCTCGGCTCCCCCCACCCCCAGCCCTGCACGTACCCCAAATCCTAGACCATCGTTCATGTTTGTGGGAAGTGAGTCTGTTCCCCTTTGTAAGAATGCTGCGTCTCCTTCATAGACATCAGCTGTTTTCCTTTTAAAGCCTGAGGTTGGTATTATAACAGAAATAACCATAGAGGTGGTGCTGGGACAGAGCCCAGATGCTGAGAGTAGGGTGCATGTGGGGTCCCGGGCACCCCCCCAGCCGTGCCCCCGAGGCCAGGTGGAGGCTTATCTGTCCCCAGGTCCCTCAGGGGGTCCTTTCCAGGACTCAGGCTGGGACGGGGCCACCCGCTGCTGGTGACCTGCAGGTGGCCAATGTCGGGCAGCCCCAGCCAGGCCCTGGCTCCGAGGGCCCCTCACCCCACAGCCCGCCTCAGCTTTGGTTCTGCTGCTACTACCTCTTGCCTCGTCCTGTTCCTCCTTTTTCAGCCTTTTCTTGTTTCCTTCTGTCTTTCCCACCTGTCCCTTCTCACCCCTGTCTCTCTGTCTTTTTATGTCTCTCTGCTTCCCCCCAACATGCTCTCCTCACGCCCTCTCCCTTCTCCCTCCTTCCAACTTTAATTTTTCTTTGAAGAGCTCGCAGATTTCAGAACCATCCAGGCTTAACACCATACCCCAAAATGTACTTAATGCCACTCAACGGTAGATATTAAAATGGTAAGTTTTAGGTTATATAAGATTTTGCCAAAATTAAAAAAAAATAGATGTGGAGTCTCCTGCTTGCCCAAACTCTAAAAATTTAAAAATCCCCCCCCCTTTTTTTAAAGAAAAAAAATAAAAGAAACATACCCTCATTGCCCCCATTCTCTGGCTGTGTGACTCTGGGAAGTCACTCACCCTCTCTGAGCCCCACTTCCTCTCTTTGTAAACTGGGATGCTAACGGAAGGTGCTGGTGGGAATGGAACAAGGAGGTGTCTGTACAATGTTGAGCATAGTGCCAGGACCAAGCAGGCATTCAGTAAACCCCCTGTCTTCCATCCTCTTTCTGGTTTTTTCCTTCGCCTCTTTCCTCTTGAAGCCTGTCCTTATTTCTACATCCCCCTGGGCCCCACCGGCCTATATCAGGGGTCAGTCATGGGGGTCCCGACAGAGCAAAGGGATGGTGTACCCTGCTGAGGTCTCTCGCAAACCCTGCAATTACTAGTAATAGTAACAGCATGGCTCCTACTCCCCTGCTACTAGGCACACAAGCCCTACCAGCCCCAGAAATTGGGGCACTCTAGTCCCCATTAGCTACAAAGAATAGACAGTGGTCCTGTGGGCACTCCCTTGGCAGCAGTGTGGCTGGTTCCACCTCAGCCTGCTGCTCCCCACCCTGGCACTCTCTGGGCCCGGGAGAACAGAGGATGACAGCTGTGGGCCAGAAGAGGCAAGACGAGCCCACCCACCAGCTCATGCCAGGTCGGGGCAAGTGGCCCAATCCTGGGTGTCCTGGCTCAGGCGCCACCTGCCACTTGGCTGCTGTGCCGGAGGGGGACACCTGGCACTGGGGCCCAGGTCTGGGAGACAGAAGGTCCCGGTCTCCTCTCTGTCTGCTGGTGACCATCACCAAGGGGTTGAGCCCCACTGGGTGATGGTTTCTCTGTCGGGCTGTTGGGTGTTTCTGGATGGGATGACCCCCTTAGGAGGGACCCCTTTCCAGTTTCACAGCCTGGTGAATAAGGGGCAGGGGTCCTGGCTGTGCTGCCCCGGGTCACACAACATTGCTTGTCAAGCCACTCCCCCAAGAAGCATCCTCTTCCCTCCTGGTGTACCCAGTGGCAAACCCCCAGCTTCCTCCCATTTAGATCCCTGGCCACCAGGAGGAGGTTTTCCTCACTGTCTGGGCTCCCAGTGCAAAGGGCATCCTACCCCATGCTCCAGGACAGTTAAGGCCACGGACTTCACTAGGAGAGGTCCAAAGAGGTATTTGGGTATAGAGCTCTGACCAGGGCAAGACCCCAGACAGCTGATCTCAGCTCTGCTGGCACCTTGCGGTAGGACTTGCGGCCTGCCCCCAACCCTCTCTGAGCCTCTGTTTCCTCACATGGGAGGAAGGAGCTGGACGGGATCCAAATGACCTTCCGGAGTAGATTTGTGTTCAGCCTTGGCAGAGTAATCGTCGTGCTTCATTCAGAGTTTACCCTGAGTGTCTAACTGTGATGAGGCAACTGAGGCTCAGAGAGGCTGAGTAACTTAGTGAAGGTCACACGGCTGGGGAGTAAGGTTGGGGCCAAGAGTTGCCAAACCATCCAACCTTACACCTACTGTGTGCCCACCATGCCACAGTACCACAGAGGGTACAGTTGACCACCCTGCCCTCAAGGGGCTTATCAGAACCCACGTGTAAGCATGAGAGGATGAGCTGGGGACACACGGTAGGGCGGAGCAGCTTTAAGAATTCTGAAACCAGGGTAGTCAGGAAGGGCTTCCTGGAGGAGGAGGCCTCGCAGTCCTCCCACAGGCTTTGGGGAAGAGCTTTGGGTGGGCATCCTAATCCAAGGGGGTTCACTCCTTTTCTGAGCATAAGGGGCTTTGTTGAGGATTAGCAGAAGAGTGGTTGATCCTCTCTGGGTAGCTGGTGGAACCAGTTATCCAATGAGGCCTCCAGGCCCTGGCAGGGAGCTGTTGAGAGATGGGAGGCTCCCCAGAAGAGGGGCCTCCCACCAGCTCCAGCTCCTAACCAGAGAGAGGCCACACGCTCTCTTCCTTCACGTATTTGTGGAACACCTCGTCTGTGCCAGGTCCTGGGCCACAGCAGGAAACAGGGCAAAGCCCTCTTTATTCCCCTACAGGAAATACATCATTAACACACCACCACAGCGATAGGTGACAGAGTTCCAGATAGTGGTCAGTGCCGTGGGGAAACCAGGCCGGGCAGGAATGATCACTGCATAGCCCAGTGCTCAGCGGGGCGCTTTGAGAGTGGGTGGGGGATGGGCCAGGGTCGGGGGGGGGGGGGGGCGCCCCTCCGGAAGCGAGGCCCAGCCCAAAGCCAATAGGGACTAGGAGTCCAGGGGGCACAGAAAGGACAGGGTGTTCCAGGCAGGGAACTGGATATGCAAAGGCCCTTTGGCTGGGGGTGGGGTGGGGGAGATGCCCAGTGAGGCTGTCGTGGATAGACTGTGTAGGGCCCAAAGGCCACGTGGAGGATCTAGGCCTTTATGTTGTGAAGACTGAGGGCACAACCAGGGGAAGGACCTGGCATTTGTGCATCTTGAGGAACACACACTGGCTTTAGGGCAGGAAGTGCATCGCACAGGGTCGAGGCTCGCGCCCTCTGTGGCCACCTCGGGGTGAGTGGCTGTGGCGGCTCGGGCTGGAAGGAGGCAGAAGGGATGAGGAAATAGATGGAAACGGAAGGCATTGGCAGAAGAGAGGCAGAGGTCACGGTGCCATGCCCCGCGCTTCACCTCCTCCGCCCTGCGCCCTCCTGACACCTGTCTCCTCCTCTCAGGCCTGCGGGTACGGGAGGTACAGATCGAGGTGTCACGGCAGCAGGTGGAGGAGCTGTTCGGGCTGGAGGACTACTGGTGCCAGTGTGTGGCCTGGAGCTCCGCGGGCACCACCAAGAGTCGCCGGGCCTATGTCCGCATCGCATGTACGCCGTCCCGACACCCCCACCCCACTCCCCCGGGGGCCCCTTCCCCGGCTGGTGCATCCTGGAGAGAAAACCCCCCATCTGTGGGGGGGCATCCGCAGCGACATCAGGGCACATGGGTGCCCGCTCAGAGAAGCCTCCTAGACCCAGACCTGGGCCAGCGCAGGCCACAGGATTCCTAAGGGCCCCTTTCACCTACTTGGGTGTAAGGGAGCTGCCCGCTTCCTCGCCCTCCGGGCGGTGATGCCTTTAGGATCCTATAGTCCCCGACCCCGGGGAGAGCCCATTCCCTTGGTGCGCACTGCCACCTAGTGGCTGCAGCCGGGCGCTTCGGGCTTCTGTTCCGCCTAACTGCCCGGGGACCCCTCTTCCTTCTCCAGACCTGCGCAAGAACTTCGATCAGGAGCCTCTGGGCAAGGAAGTGCCCCTGGACCAGGAGGTTCTCCTGCAATGCCGCCCGCCAGAGGGGGTGCCTGTGGCTGAGGTGAGCAGGGACGAGGGGAATAGCCAGGTGGGGTATCTACCGCCAGCCTCCCAGAGCTCGCCCCATTTCGTAGATGGGAATTATCGAGGCTGGAGCCCGAGAAGGGAGCTAGCACCTCTGCAGAACTCAGCATGCGCTAGACCCCCCTGGGGCCTCCAGAGGCAGAACCCGGAGGCATGGGGCCAAGCGGGGCCAGATCCCCAAGGGGCTGCTTGGGCGCACCCCAGGCCCAGTCTCTTGCAAGTGCCTGTGACCAGATCCTCCTTCCCCTCCTGGAAGCCAAAGTCTCAACTTTATGGATGCCAAAGGGTCTCAGACTGTGCGTGTCCGAGCCTGGATGCCCCCCACGTGGCCCTTGCCTCTCGGTGAAGGCCCACAGTACTAGCTAATGCTTATTGTACTTATGGGGAGTACTATTCACTTTCCACACTCACTTGTTTCATGCTTGAAACAGCCCGTGGTGTAGATGCTAAGAAATTCTGCTCTACGGTTGATGAAACCGAGGCTGGTGTAAGTCCCTTTCCAGGTCCGTCTAGCTGGTGGGTGGTCGTCACAACCCCTGGGTTCTGCAGAGCCCAGCGCAGTGCCTGGCTCATGAAGGTGTTGCCTCACAGTGTCACCACCGTGTGTGGATGTGGATAGAACCCCTGTCCTGTTTACGGCCGGGCCGCCTCTCCCCTCCAGAGCGGGCCCCTGCCCGGATGCAGTTGAGTAGGTGCCGGGCGCTCATGCCCCCCCAACCGCGCTCCTGCAGGTGGAGTGGCTGAAGAACGAGGACATCATCGACCCCACCCAGGACACCAACTTCCTGCTCACCATCGACCACAACCTCATCATCCGCCAGGCCCGCCTGTCAGATACAGCCAACTACACCTGTGTGGCCAAGAACATTGTCGCCAAGCGCCGAAGTACCACTGCCACAGTCACTGTCTATGGTACGGGCCCCGCGTGGGGACAGCCTGGCCAGGGGAGTGGGAGGGCCGAGGCCGCATGCCTGCCTCACCGCGTCCTGCCCAGGAGGCCAGCAGGACCCTGGAGGACAGGTGGGAGGATGGGCCCAGAGAGGGGAGGTGCCTTCCCCAAGATCACACGGCAAAGCTAGTGGTCAAGTCCGCACTCATGGGTTTGGGGTTGGAACGGGGCCTAGTGTCCCAGCAGAGTGAGGAACCGCTGCCTGGGCCTGTAGGCTATTCCTTGCTGTTCTCTTGGGTGGGAGGGCCAGAGCTATAGCTGAGATGCCTCGAGTGTGCTAGAAAGAACCCTATATCGGGTTCCAGTCCCAGGTCCTCGATTACCGGGCAGCCTTAGGTAAGTGTCAGCCCTCTCTGGACCTCCGTTCACCATTGTACCATGAGAGCTGGAATAGGCCCTGACCTCCCTGGTCCCCTCTGGTGCTGGCGGTTACAGTCCCGATCTGGCTGCTAGTCACTGAGTCCCTGGTGCCACGGCAGGAGGGGTCCAGTTAGGAAAGGCCAGGCCTCAGCAGAAGGGCCGTGTCACTCTGGAGATGGGGGGGGGGGGTGCCGCGGGTCACAGAGCCGGGCCAAGCGAGTGATACCCGCTGCCCTTGCAGTGAACGGGGGCTGGTCCAGCTGGGCCGAGTGGACGCCCTGCTCCAACCGCTGCGGCCGTGGCTGGCAAAAGCGCACCCGGACCTGCACCAACCCGGCCCCGCTCAACGGAGGCGCCTTCTGTGAGGGCCAGGCCTTCCAAAAGACCGCCTGCACCACAGTGTGCCCAGGTAAGGCCATGGGCCGGCTGGCATCCTACCCACACCCGGTCCCACCCCGGGCCCCGGCCCCGGGGGTACCCCGCACTCAGGGTGGCCACTCTCCCCACATCGTGGGGAGTGGAAGGTGCTGTCCTGGGGCCCATGGCCAGCTGAGCGGGCCGGACAGGATGGTGTAGCCTATGGACTCTCATTCTGTGCCCGGCCATGGGAGAGACAGAGACGGGGTCTCTGAGCCTCAGGCTGAGGGTTCTCAGTGTCAGGGCCAGAGTTCCAGCACCGCCGAGGGGTCAGAGGAGCCTATGCTCCTGCTCTTAATGTAGACACATCTTGACCACCACCCCAAATCCCACAAATGTCCTCTGGTCTCCTTTCATCTTTGTCTCACCCTGTGCGTCCCTGTCTGTGGGTCCTTGAATGTCTGGTTTTGTCCCATCTCTTCTGGTTTTATGTGAACAACGTGGTGTGTTTGCCCTGGGTTTGAGTCTGTGTGAGTGCACTGGCTCTAGCTGTATGAGTGACCTTAGTTGTGTATCTGTGTTGTGTATGCCCCCTTGGTGCCCTGACTGTCCTGGCACAGGGCTGTGTGGCTGGGGGTGGGTGTCTCCACGTGGCTTGTGTGTCGTGGGTTCCTCTCCTGCCATCGTGCGTGCGTGGGTGCGTGGGGGTGTGTGCACTGCTGTGCTCTGCACACTTAACGGTGCGTGCCTGTGTTCCCACGTGCTGGGTGCGGTGCTCCTACAGTCGATGGAGCGTGGACAGAGTGGAGCAAGTGGTCAGCCTGCAGCACCGAGTGTGCCCACTGGCGCAGCCGCGAGTGCATGGCGCCCCCACCCCAGAACGGAGGCCGAGACTGCAGCGGGACCCTGCTCGACTCCAAGAACTGCACGGACGGGCTGTGCGTGCAGAGTGAGTCCTTGGGACAGCGGGCCCCGGGGTGGGGGCTCGAACCGGATGAGGAAACCCCTGCCCCCAGCCAGCCCCAAGCCTCAGGTGCTGGCTGCAGTAGAGTAGCCCCTGGGGCCTCTGCCCACCCGCCCCATGCATCATCTCATCTGCACGTTTCTTGTCACCTTCACCATCCTTTCTCTGCCACCCATGTCATTGTCTTTCCCTTTATTTCCCTCGACAGATAAGAAAACTCTAAGTGACCCCAAAAGCCACCGTAAGTCCCATTTCATGGCTGTCCTCTTTCCTCTGGGGATCCTTGGTTCTCCTTGACTGGCTTTTCCAGGGTGTGGGGTGCAGGGCAGGGTGGGGGACAGGGAGACTTGAAGGTGCCCCTTCACCAGCCCTCCATGGGGTCCCCGGCCCCCAGTACCGCACACGTCACGGCCTCCATCCCGCGCAGACTGGCGGGCCCGCAGCTGACAGGAAGAGCACCATCCTGACCCTCCCATTATAGGAGAAGCTGAGTCTCAGAGTGAGGAGGGGACTTAACTCAAGGATCCAGCCAATTTGAACCTAAATAGTTATATGGCCAAAGCTGGTGCTCTTAGCCTTGTGCCCTCAGCCTTCCTCTCTGAGACAGAGCCAGCACACAGGCCCACGCCCACCATCCCGGTGCCCCTTACTATACCCCCAACAGTAGGACTAGGTTAGGTTCTCCAGGAAACCCACGGCCCAGCGTCAGCCCCAAGGGACTGGTCCACCGACTCCCCCAGGCTGTGCCGTAGCAGCACCAGAGCAGTAAAGCTGCTTAGGCAGGTTGACCTGTGGTAATGAAACCATAATTTCCAAATAATTCAGAATCATAAAAATCAAGCAGTGAGGCCCTGGGCCCAGCTCACAGAGCGGGGGTTGGGGGGTGGGCTGGTGACTCCCCCAGTCGTCAGGGAGACCATCAGGAGGCAGAGCCAAGCCCCGAGGGCCTCCTGTGGCAGCCCCCCACCCCTCCCCCTGGGTGCTGGGATCCTCTGGGGAGCACAAGAATGAGGGCCTCTGGGGAGAGATGGGGCCCGAGAAGGTGACAAAAATGGGCAGTCACCAGGGAGGTGGGCTTGGGAGGGTCCAGGCAAGGAAAGCAGGAGGGGAGACTGGAATTTGCTTCCTGGAGCTCCCAAAACAAGCAAGAGGGAAGAGCAGACATCTTGGCTCTGGCCGTGGGCTGTCCAGCGTGGTGGCCGCTGGCCACCTGTGGCTCTTTCGACTTCTAGTTAAGTCAGTTAAAATTAAATACGCTTGTGAAGACTAGTTCCTCAGTGCCTCTGGCCACACTTTAGTTGTTCATGAGCCACATGCGGCTGGTGGCTGTCATGGAACCACACAGACATAGAACGTGCATCATTGCAGAAAGTGCGGTTGGATGGCGCCGCAGTGGACGCTGCCTGGTGACCATGACTCGTTCCTGCCTGGCTCCTGTAGAGCTCTTTGCAGCTGTGTAGCAGCCTGCCGGGGGGAGGGACATGTAGCGGTGGGTGGCCTCCCTGAGCCCCTTCCTCCCCCCACCTGTTCACCTTCTCTCCACCCCATCGCCTGCATCTCATTCTCTCCTCCTGCTCCCCCTCTATCTCCACCCCCCACCCTCAGCATAGGATGCGAGTTGAGCTCAGGATGGCCACTTGCAGAGAGTCCTGGGAGCAGGGACCTCGGGCCCTGGGATGTGCTGCAGGCTGCGATGGGGCCCTGAGCTTAGATCCTGGCTGGGACAGGACAAACTGAGCCGCAGCCCTTGTCTCTTTCTCAGCAGTGAGCAATGAATTCACTGTTGGGACTGACCACGAGTCGTTTTGCCTCTCCTCCTGCGCCGAGAGGGAAGCAGGACAGGGGATTTGAGACCCTTTTACTTGTAGAGACTGATGCACAGAGCAGTTCAGGCTTGTCTGAGGTCCCAGCCAGTTGTGGCAGGGCTCAGACCAGGAGCTAGCATAGTGCAGGTCTGCCCCAGGACCTGGGTCTCTGTCCCCAGACTAGGATCTCTATCTGGGGACCTGGGTCTCTGCCCTGGGATCTGAGTCTCTGCCCCCAGACTTGGGCCTCTACCCCAGGACCTGAGTCTCTGCCCCCACCTTGGGTCTCTGCCTTGGAACCTGGGTCTCTGCACCGAGATATGAGTCTCTACCCTGGGATTTGTGTATCTGCCCCCAGACTTGGGTCTCTGCCCCAGGTCTCTCTGCCCCAGGTCTCTGCCCCTGCCCCTCACACAGCCCTCCTGTGCCCACAGTGCTGGAGGCCTCGGGGGATGTGGCTCTGTACGCGGGCCTCGTGGTGTCCATCTTCGTCGTCGTGGGCGTCCTCATGGTGGTGGGGGTGGTGGTGTACCGCCGCAACTGCCGGGACTTCGACACGGACATCACCGACTCGTCCGCCGCCCTCACTGGCGGCTTCCACCCCGTCAACTTCAAGACCGCGAGGCCCAGTAAGGTCCTGGGAATACCTGGGGTGATGGATGCAGGCAGGGGCACCCAGAGGGGCACGGCAGCCGGCCAGAGCAGCCAGACTGGAGCGCGGGTTCCTGCTCCCTTCCGAGGTTTTTCTAGACTTTGCTCCACAGATGACTGCATGAGTGTAGGTCAAACAGACCCAGAGAAGGGAAGGGGTAGCCGGGTAGCGAGTCCCCAAAGTTTCCTGCGGTGATGGTAACTGAGCCTTTAGCAGCTGAACATTTGGGTGGGATTTTGCAACAGAAGGGTCCCCGGTGGGAGCAGAGGACAGGAGTGGGCCAGCGAGGCACAGCTGGGTCTAACCATAGCCCCAACCCCTGCAGACAACCCACAGCTCCTGCACCCGTCTGTGCCTCCGGACCTCACGGCCAGTGCTGGCATCTACCGCGGGCCCGTGTATGCCCTGCAGGACTCCGCGGACAAGATCCCCATGACCAACTCCCCCCTGCTGGACCCCCTGCCCAGTCTCAAGATCAAGGTCTACAACTCCGGCACCACCGGATCTGGGCCAGGCCTGCCAGATGGGGCCGACCTGCTGGGGGTCCTGCCGCCTGGCACGTACTCTGGCGATTTCGCCCGGGATGCCCACTTGCTGCACCTGCGCAGTGCCAGCCTCGGCTCCCAGCAGCTCCTGGGCCTGCCCCGTGACCCGGGGAGCAGCGTCAGCGGCACTTTTGGCTGCCTGGGTGGGAGACTCAGCATCCCCGGCACAGGTGGGCTCCCGCTCTGCTGGCCTGTCAGCGTGGCCTCAGCATGTCCTTCTGGGCATCCCAGCACCCCCTCCACCAGCAGAAGATAGGACTTCCCTGATCCCATTTCTCAGATGGAGAATACAGGGCCCAGGAGGAAGAAGGGACTATAAAATAGAAGTCTTAGGGTCTAGGCCTTTCTCTGCCTCTCCAAGGCAAGGGAACTCTGGGCCAGCCTCCCAGTAAACCTCATCTGTTAAGTGGGAGAGAGTACCTCTTTGAAATTCAGCAGACCCACAGAGCACTGCTGGGAAGGCAAGGCTGCCCATCTCGGGTTGCAAAGCCATCAGTTGATCGTTTCCCAGAGTCACACTGATTTAAGGCTACAACTGGCACTGGGACCTTCCAACTTTGAGTCTTTGCCCCATCTCCATACCCCTTCACAGTGCCAGCGGCCCCCCTGTGTTACCAGACAAACCTCCTGCTGTCAGTGACTGGGCTGTCCTTGTACCTACTCCCCAGAGCTTCTCTCCCCAGCCCTTGCTGTTTGTTGACCACCCAGATTTTAGGAGGTGTCTTTGTCCCCACACTGTCCCAAGCTAGGAGCCACCCCATGCTCCCCAGCTGCCCCCTATTCTAAGCTCTTAGACTCCCTCCAGCTCCTCCCTGCTGACCTCTTCTCCCCCTAGGGGTCAGCCTGCTGGTGCCCAATGGAGCCATCCCCCAGGGCAAGTTCTACGAGATGTACCTCCTTATCAACAAAGCAGAAAACACCCTGTGAGTAGAGAGACCCCGGTTCTGGTGTGGGCTGCCCTCCACCCCTTCCTCTCCCTGCTGCCCGTCCACCCTGGGTTCAGATATCACCATCCCCCACTCTGCACCTGATCCTAAGGCCAGAGGGGGTCCTTCAAGGAAGACGCAGACAGACCTTACTATGTCCACATATAAACTGTACAAAACGAGCACAACAAATCATAAAACTGAAAGGCAATTGACCAAGTAGCTACTTTATGACAAGAGGTTAATATCCTTACTATGTAAAGAGGCTTTAGAGACCAGTAAGAAAAATTGAACGTTTCATTACAAAAATGGAGGATGTGAACAAGCGATTCACACATAGTCTCTGATGCAGCCACCCTCACACGCACACACACCCATACACACAGGCCGATAGATTGTGAAAAAACACTCAGCCTAATTTGTAGTCAAAGAAATAGTCATTCAAACAGCCAGAAGATATGAGGAGTTTTTTGCTTCTTGAATTTACAGATTTGTTTTCAAATGATAAAACCTTCCTATTGACAAAAACGTGGGAACTCGGCCCTCCCATGACGTGCCCGTGGAAGGCTAGACGGGTAGCAGCTTTCCAGAGGGCAGTTAGCAACCCTTGTCAGAAACATCCCAGGAGTACAGAACCTTTGAAAATGCGAACAGAGATACGGCTGCGAGAACGTGGCAGCGAAACAGCAGAAATCTGAGAACAATCTTGAGGCCCGTGCCATCCTTGTGCTTCTCCTTAACCCCTGACCTCTGGGAGCCCAGGGCTGGAGACCTGCCTTCGGCCACGCAGGAGCCAGGGCAGAGGTGGGAGCCCCGCACCAGCCCCAGCCCTTGCTGAGCTCCCCGCCTCGCCTCACTGCCTCCCTCCTGCCCTCTGCTGTCTCCCCAGCCCGCTTTCAGAAGGGACCCAGACAGTCCTGAGCCCCTCGGTGACCTGTGGGCCCACGGGCCTCCTGCTGTGCCGCCCCGTCATCCTCACGGTACCCCACTGTGCTGAAGTCAGTGCCGGTGACTGGATCTTCCAGCTCAAGACCCAGGCCCACCAGGGCCACTGGGAGGTGAGGAGCCAAGACTGGGGGGCCGGGGCCACCATCCCAACCTGCTCTGGGAGGCCTCAGAAATGGAAAGAAGGCCCAACCTGGGTGGACCTCTCCACGGCCTTGTGACCCGCGTGCCTCACCCCCGCCGTCACCCTGCAGGAGGTGGTGACTCTGGACGAGGAAACCCTGAACACCCCCTGCTACTGCCAGCTAGAGGCCAGGTCGTGCCACATCCTGTTGGACCAGCTGGGCACCTACGTGTTCACCGGTGAATCCTATTCCCGCTCAGCAGTGAAGCGGCTCCAGCTGGCCATCTTTGCCCCTGCCCTCTGCACCTCCCTAGAGTACAGCCTCAGAGTCTACTGCCTGGAGGACACCCCTGTGGCCTTGAAGGTAAGGCCGGGCCATAGGCACCACCCAGCGCTGGCGCCCCTGGCTGACCAGCTGTCTGGAACCTTCGGGATCTCCCACCCCAGAATCCTGGCACCCCTCTACCATCGTCAGCCTCATTCATCGTTCATTCATCGCTCAAACACTGAAATGGCATCAGACCCTCGAGACACAGAGATGAATCAGGCACAGCTCTGCCCTCACCAAGCCCCAGGCTAAAGACGAGGAAACAGGGGGCCCACTGACAGGGGGCTGGGAGGAGGAGGTCTGGGAAGGCTTCACAGCACAGTTAGCCTTAGACCTATGCCCTGAAAGCCAACGAGGGTGCCAGGCGGAGCAGGGCAAAGGGCATCCCAGCCTGCAGAGCAGCTAACCCGAAGGCCGGCGTGTCGTTCCAGTGTGGCCAAAGCATGCAGGGGCTGTGCATGCGTGAGTGAGGGGGAGAGATGGGCCGGGCTCAGCTCCCCAGCAGACCCGGGAGCCGAGTTCAGGAATTTGAGATCTATCCGGTGGGCAGGGGCAGGTGCTGTTTTGAAAGCCCCTGAGCTGTGTTGTGGGAATGGGTAGACAAGAGGCAGAGAGGCCAGTTGGGAAGTTGCATCTGGACCCTGGACAGCAGGCAGTGACAGCATCAAGGACAGGGGTGGCTACTGTATGAGTAAAATGGACAGGGCCAGCGACCTATTGGAGGAGGGGGAGAGGGGAGGTGCCAGGGCTGACCACCAGGTTCCCACTATAGGCCAAAGGAGGTTGCAGCAGGGGCGAGTGGTTTGGAGCAGGGAGGGCAGAAAGGTGAAGGGGTCGGATTTGAGCATGTAGAGCCTGAAGTGGCAGGTGTGTTAGTACCACCCTGTCTCCCGTCAGCCTCCGAGGCCCTGTCCATTACCTCCCCAGCCCCCACCACCCCTGAGTTCCTAGGACCTCAGGCTCATCCTAACACTGGAAAAACACCGCCCCTTGGCCCCGTGTAAACCTTCTCCTCCTTCCATCCACTGCTCTGCGAAGCTTCCAGGCCCTTTCTGTAGCTCCACAGTCTGTGGTCTCCGCTAGCTGCTATCTCCCAGGCTCATGTGACTTGTCCCAGACTACAAGCTGCGTACTGAGGCAGCACAAAGTGTAAAGGGCTCAAAGGAGAGCGAAGTGTCTTCTGCTGGGCCAGGCTGGCCTGAAATTCCAGAAGGCCCAGAATGGGCTGGAGGCTCTGAGCAATGCTCTTGCGGTCTCCGTCTCTCAGTACAGGGGCAGGGCCAGTGTCCCTCTTTGGTCAGAGAATGGAAGGGAGGTCTGGAGGAAAGCTGCCACATTTTGGCTTGATGGCATTCCTTATCTCTTCAGTCCCCATTTGTCTGTCCATCCATATGTCTGTCCATCCATCATCCATCCCGCCTGCTGCCAGTCTAGCTGTATACTCACTCACTCGGCAATGCCTCTGTCTTTGCCTCAGCCATCACCAACCATCCATTTGTCTTTCCTTCCGTCTTTCTATTTATATACCCATCCATTTGTATATCCATCTGTACACCCGTCTGTCTGTATCTATCCATCCATTTATCATCTACCCATCCATCCATTTGTCCACCTATCTGTCCAGTCATCTGTAAATCCAGTCATCTATCCATCTGTCCCATTATCTGTCCATCCATCCATCTATTCACACAGTATGTCTTCTCTGAGCCCTTAGCAGATGCCCAGCCCTGTGCTCAGTTGGGTGCCTGCGCTCAGTATCACAGCCTGGCTCCCTTGCCCGCGTGTGTCCCCAGACCCCAAACTTGCAGCAGGAAGAACCCATTGGCCAAGTATGATGGGCTCCCCCTTCCCGTTGCCTCCTGGCCCACAGGAGGTGCTAGAGCTGGAGCGGACCCTGGGAGGCTATCTAGTGGAGGAGCCCAAACCCCTGCTGTTTAAAGACAGTTACCACAACCTGCGCCTCTCTCTACATGACATCCCCCACGCCCACTGGAGAAGCAAGCTGCTGGCCAAGTATCAGGTGAGGGCTGAGCCAAAGGAATTGTGGGAGAAGGAACCTGGGGAGGAGGAGCATTTGAGGGGCTGCCCAGAGAAGTCTACTTCCACCCCCAAGCCTTGGCGCAGCCTCCTTCCTCTAGCCTTGCCCCTCACTCCCCGAGTCTCTGCCTCCCTCCCACACCACTCTCCAGGCTCCCAGTCATCCTTAGGCACATCCCCAAGTTCGGTGCCACTGGCAGCCAGGCTCCCCTCCACCCCGTCACACACTCCTACATGCCAGTGTCTATACACATCATCTTCAAAGAGGCCTTACCACCTCTAAGAGTGTTTGTGCCCGGCAGACTGTCCAGAGCAATCTTGGATGGTCACATCCCTGTGCCCACACCAATCTACACAACAATGAGGCTTCCAGCCCAGACATACCTGCACATGTGCACACACATGCACACACACACACATGCATGTATCCAGGCTTGTGCCTTCTCCCCCATATGCTCCCCCTCTCTCAGCTGAAGGGCCCTTGGAGAGGCCCACACTGCCCCCTGAGAGGGCCCAGCACTCCCTGAGGCTGGCCTCTTTCCCACCTCTGCCTCCGTTCCCTGAGGGCAGGGCAGGCTAGCCTCCTATCCTTTACCCTGCCGCCCCTCCCACAGGAGATCCCCTTCTATCACATCTGGAGCGGCAGCCAGAAGGCCCTGCACTGTACTTTCACCCTGGAGAGGCACAGCCTGGCCTCCACAGAGCTCACCTGCAAGATCTGTGTGCGGCAGGTGGAAGGGGAGGGCCAGATCTTCCAGCTGCACACCACTCTGGCAGAGGTGAGGCCAGAGGACACCAACTCTGTGGGGCCAGGGGTTGGAGCATTCAGAGCCCCGTGCCCCCCTCCCCCGGCTGGGTGGGAATGCTGTCTCCCATAAAGCTCTGTCCCCTTCACCTCCCAAGTCTGAGCTGGGACCTGGGCATGTTCTGCTAAGAGCTACCACTTACTGAGTGCCCGGTGCTGTGCTTGGCCTGTGCCAGGCAACATAGATTACTTCACTGAGTCAGAAAGTAGGTTTTAGGGAGGACAGATACCGCCGACCTGGGATCAGGTCAGCACTTGGCTCACGCCTATGGTTCTCCCCTCCCTATAAATCCAGATTGAGGTTTAACAAAACCCAGTCCACCCAGGACAACAGTGCTAGTACCTCCTTGCAGTGCAGCGTAAAGAGCGCTGGCTATGGGCCTAGACGCAGCTCTGCCCCTAACTTGGCATGTGACGTGGGCAAGTCACTTCCTCTTTCTAGACTTCATTTCCACACATGTAAAAGTGGGTCTGTGTGGATTAGACCATGGCTGAGGCTCCTTGTGGCTTTGTAATCGCGAGATTGCATCAGCATTAGCCTGGGACAGTGCATGAGCATGGAATGCCCCGAGGGCTGTGAGTTGGGCATGCAGCCCCGGCCCTTGGAAGCTAACCTTCCAGGGGAGGAGGCCTTTGACTGAGCAGCTGGAGCCTGCCCAGGATGTGGGGAGTGACCAGAACCTCTGTGATTGCACAGACCCAGGGCAGGAAGGTTGAGAGGCAGATGCCAGTACTATGCATGTGGGGGAGCCCTCGGCCCCCCTCAGACCTTGCCCCCTCCCCTTCCAGACGCCTGCCGGCTCCCTGGACACCTTCTGCTCTGCCCCTGGCAGCACAGTCACCACCCAGCTGGGACCCTATGCCTTCAAGATTCCACTGTCCATCCGCCAGAAGATATGCAACAGCCTGGATGCCCCTAACTCGCGGGGCAATGACTGGCGGCTCTTGGCGCAGAAGCTCTCCATGGACCGGTGGGTGTCAGGCCAGGCCCGCCCCATCCCAGCCTCCCTGGGTCCCCAAGGGGCAGGTGGGGCAGGCAGCCCGGCAGTCCAGGATCAGATCCCTCCATCTGGGGTAGATCGGGAGCTCAGGCGTGGGTGTGCTCAATCTGAGAAGGCCATTCTTTGAGGAGTGCTGTGCTCAGAGTGCTGGCCTGTGGGGATCGGGTGAAACCAGGTGATCACCATCTGCGCCCCCATGCCCGGGACAGAGCAGGTGTTCTGCAAATGTTTGCCAAGTGACAGGGTATATATTTTGGTGTCAAAGCCCTTTTGGAGAACTTAAAATGCTGGATAAATATAATGGCAATGATAGTCCTTATTACTACATTATACTTTCTGAGAAACCCTTTGATACACCTGCGTTGAGCAGATGCCACATGCAAGACCCCTTACTGGAAATGGATGGGCTTCACAAAGAGTCTAAGGCTTTGTTCCTGCTCTCAGGAGAGCGTGGGGGGCAAGACCCAGCAGGGAACGATGTGGGAGGAGGAGCGAATGCAATGCTAGGTTCCGACAGTCTCTCCCAGGGCCAGCGGTGTCTTTCAATGGTAGTGCTAACGGTGATGACGGACGGTGATGAGCAAGACTGTTTCCATCTTAAAGATGAGGAGGCCAAGGCTCCGAGAGGAGCAGTGGCTTGCCCAGGGCCACACAGCCCCCCAACAGAGGGGCTAGGGTTATGGGAGCCTTCCCACCTACCCCGGTGCTCTCTCCATTTCCCAAGCTCCCTGGAGGTGCTGGGTATTTGGGGAGCCCAATGGCCTCCTCCTTCCCTCCGCCAGGTACCTGAACTACTTTGCCACCAAAGCGAGCCCCACGGGTGTCATCCTGGACCTCTGGGAAGCTCTGCAGCAGGACGACGGGGACCTCAACAGCCTGGCGAGTGCCTTGGAGGACATGGGCAAGAGTGAGATGCTGGTGGCCATGGCCACTGACGGGGACTGCTGAGCTGCCCCGGAACCAGAACCGTGGGCTGGGAGGGTGGGCAGGAGGCGGGTGCAAGGAGGCCCCGGGCAGCCTCCTGAGAGGTGGAGCAGCCTCCACTACCCCCCAGAGCTCAGAGCCGGAGTTGCTCCCTCCTCCCCACCTCGCCCCACTCCCAGACCGTGACCAGCCTTAGCAAATCCATGTACTCCGTTGTTGTCTGGAGGAGCCAGTGCTCCTTCTCCACCCCCTGCTGTCCCTCGTGCCCTCAGATCTCCACGCGGGAACCACCATGAGGCCTCTGGAGGCAGCTGGGTGGGTGGGAGCAGGAGCCCTCCCCACTCCTGCCACCCCACCAGGCCGCCTCCACCCTGGGAGTTCTGGGTTACCTTTGTCATAGTTGCGTCCTTCCAGTTTCTTCCTCGGTTCCTGGTGTCTCCCTCCCCGCCACCACCCCGCCCTGAGCCCCCTTCCCCTTTCACACCGTTTTCCTCTTTGAAGAGTCAAGTACAATTCAGACGAACTGCTTTCTCCTGTCCAAAGCAAAAAGGAAAAGGAAAGGAAGAAAGACACTTCAGGCCGCTAGTTAGGCTCCAAGAAGAAAAAAAGAGCAACGCCAAAACCACAAGGGAAAAGAAAAACCCAGTTTCTTAGGAAACGCACATGATTTATTATCCAAATATTTGGATAAGTCCTTTTTAAGAAAAAAAAAAGAAAATGAAAAAAACAACACAAAAAAAATAGAAAACTCTTTTCTTGAGTGCGGGTGAGTGCAGGCTTGCTCACGGTTCTGGCCAGGAGTGAGCGTGTGAGTGTGTGTGAGTGTGTGTGTGTGTGTGTGTGTGTGTGTGTGTGTGTGTGTGAGAGAGAGAGAGAGAGAGAGAGAGAGAGATTATCAGGGAGAGAGAGAGACAGAACAGGGAACACCTTGCTGCTAATGATTCCGTCTTAGACTAATTCCTAAAAGGCCTCAGTTTCCCCAGTTGTACAGGGTCAGATGGGGTTTTAGCCATGGTACCACGTTTCCCTCTAAAATCTTAAGCAGATGCCGAATCTGTAAAGCCAAGGAGCCCTGAGGTCTGGAGTGGGGTGGGGTCATCCCGTCCTCCCACCTCCCCAGGCAGGTGCCCCACAGGCTCCCTGGGACCCTGGGGAGTGCAGATTACAAGGCCCTGGGGTAGAAAGTGTGGGCAGGCCGTGCTAGCTGTGAGCCAGGGACAGGGTCTCCAGTGTTCCCCTCTGGGGGCTCCCGGAGAAGGGGACAGGGCCCAGAGGTGGGGCCCCAAGCAGAGAAAGAAGCCGATGGTAAAGGGGAGGGATGATGAGAGTCTCCTGGGGACACTTCTCTCCCTCACCCCAGGGTGGGACCAGCCAGGTCACCCATCTGCCCGGCACCCCAAGGCTAGGTGAGCTGGAGCACATTGGCGTTCTGTTAATGCCCAGGAATCCAGAAACTGTTCCTCCCCAGCCTCAGTTGGCTGGGGAGGTTCATCCATAAGACAGAAGGGATGGATGAGAAGGCCTCTAACAGCAGAAGCCTGAGCTTCTGGGCCCCAGTGTGGCTTTGAAGGCCGTGTCAGCAGTCAGCCCTGCGGGCCGGGAGGCCGGGAGGTAGGTGGCCTGGCTGCGTTGTTCCACACGCCCACCCCAGTGGATGCACACCTGGGGAGGGCTGTCTTCCAGCTCTGACCCCCACTGGCACCTCGCTCAGCCCGGGTCTCGGCCTCCTTCTGCAGTCTGGTAGGTCTTGAAGTGAGCTGTGAACAGGCAGGGCTGCCAGAGGGGAGGGGCCAGTACCCCCTCACCAGCCTGCTCCAGGATGTCCAAGGGGCCATCAAATCAAGGTCCCTTGTTGACCAGCTAACAGTGGCTGCGACCAGGCTCTTAGAACTGGCACAGAGCCTCATCACAGGCCTCTTGCTCCTCTTTGGCACCCAGGGCAAAGCAGTGCCAGCCCCCCGCCCCCCAGACAGCTCTGGGCGGGCACTGACCCCAGGGCTTGCCCAGCTTGTCCGTGAGCAGCTGCTGGGACCAGCCTGGGCATATCCTGGCCTTTCAAAGTCTAGTCTCCTGGGAGGAAAGCAGATCTGGGGGCTCCAGTCCCATTTGGTGTCCCTGCCATGGACTCTGGGGCTTATGGGGATTCTCAACCACCTACCTACCCTCCCAGGGGGTAGGTCAGCCACGGGCAGACAGGCTGGCTGGGTTCGAGAGAGGAGTTTTTGTATAGGGTCGCTGAAGGGGCCAGGCCTGCATTCGGGGCTGGGCAGCAACAGCTCTTCACTCCAGTGCCTTTGTGGTGTTGCCTCAAAGGCAGCGAACCTTCCTGCCAGAGGTGCCCACCGCCGTGGGCTCAGCGTCCCTGATGACTCCAAGCCTGCGCTGTGCAAGCCTGTGTGGCAACACGGCCATGGGAGCAGCCTAAGCAGTGCCGCTGCACCCTTCCTGTCAGTCCCTACAGTGCCCACGGGCAGCCCGGGGTCCAAAGACCAGCACATTCCAGCCCCAGCTGTGCCATTAGCCTGCTGCGTGACCCCAGGCATAGGACTGCCTTCTCTGGGCCTCACTTCCTCTTTACACCTGCAGCTACCGTCTGACTCCCTTTGGGTCCTGACACGTGGCCACTGTAGGTTGCTGGTGGGGGGAGGTTGGCCATGGTCCGCCATGCCCCTCCTCTCTGCCCGGCTTGCTCAGCACCCAGGAGGGGAGCCCCTGGTGGATGAGGCCAGGCCAGCTGCTCACGTGCCATTTCTTAGCTGATTCTCAGAAATTGTGTACCGGGGCCTGGGGCACAGAACCGATAGGCTGGAGCCTCCTGGGAGGGTTCGAACTGCCTGGCTTTATAAGAAACGCCTGGAAAGGGTTGGCTGGGCTCCATCCAATCAACCCTCTGCTGAGGCTGCTGTGGCTGTTATCCCACACGGCCCGCCTTAGGGTAGGATCAGGATTTCTCCTCCTCTGTAGACCTTAGAGGCCTCCCTACGTGGCCCACGGACCCCACAAGGGGCAGACCAGGGCCCCACCCCCACCCCCCGCAGGGCTTGCAGGGGCCTCGCGTAGGTGTTTATGTGTCTCTCATCTCTGGGGCGTGTCTGCACGTGCATGCATGGGTGTGCCCTTGTGCGTGTGCTTTTGTCTGCAGGCACATCAGGGTGTCCATCCAGGAACATGTCCCCACCTAGGTGTGAGCATGTGACCTCTCTGAGTCCACAGGGTCCATCTGCGTATCCTCTACGTGCCTCCCCCTCTGCCTTCTCTTGCAGTGAGCTGGGCTCCAGAGCTCCGGGCCAGGGGTCCTCCTGAGGGCGTTGGGGGGGGGGGCTCTCCAGCTCCTGGGTGCTCCAGGACCCTCTGGTCCCCTTTTCCCCAGCAACCAGGCAGCTGAGTCAGGTCCCTTAGTATGCCCCCTGAGGGAAGGTGACCAGGAGTTTGGGTGCAGGGAGCAGCTCTCCTGGGGGCAAAGGGCTGGACCCCCTGCCTGGGCCATGGACATGGTTACGTGTCCCGGGGATGTAGGGCTGCAGGGATGGCCCGATCCCACCGCCGTTTGTTCTGTAAACTTCAACCTGTAAATAAAGTTTAGCATTCCTATTGTAACAAAATTAATTTTTACAAAATAAATTATATTTCCTAGTCTAATAAAAAAATTGCAGTTGTATTCATGGTGTCTTCTTAACTATCTGGCAGCGAGTGGAATGACCCACTTTGCTTTTCTCAAAGTTCCATGGGTTTGGGATCGGGTGGTCACCGTCAGAGCTCTCTGAGCTCCTGGAAAGGATCGAGCTCTACTGCTTCATTTTACAGAAGGGAAAGCTGGCCCAGAGAGAGATAGGACTCGGTCACACAGCAAGTTAGAGTCTGTGATGGATCTGGATCCCAATCCCTGCTCCCCAATCAGCAACATTAATGCATAAGCATTCACAGAACATGTTCAGGAGTCAATCATTTGAGCCTGCTGTGAGCCAGGTGATAGGTGGGCTTGAAGCCCCCAGCATCCCTTTCTGCCTACAAGAAATGCAGAAGGGCTGAGCCTGAGAGGTCAGTTTAGAGCACTCACCTAGAACACAGTGGTGCACGTTGATAGGGATTGATGGGTGGGCTGGGATCACACAACTTTGGACCCAAGGCCACTACGCATGGTTGGGCAGGTTACACACTGGACAAGAGTGCCATAGCTAAAGGGGAGAATGGTGCCTTCCCCAGGTTGTAGACCTGTGTGTTTACTATGAGATGTTTCCAGCAGGTGGCAGTAAAGGTTTGTTCTAATAAAATCAACATATTAGTGTTAATTTTCCTACATATGGAAGTATCTTGAAGGGGCATATTTTTCTGCTTTGCACACAGCTGTGGTACGACTGGCAGGGGCCCTGTTAGCTGGTCGTCAAGCCTCCCTATGTGAACTGAGTCCACTCCCAGCATTTTCTAGCTTGCCGTGTCTGCTTCGTGGTGGATTCTATGATATCTCAGGTTTGGCATGAAAGTACCCTCTGGTCTCATAGTGGAGACCCACAGTGTCCATCAGCACATGAAAGACTCTCAAGTCCTGAGAGAAGAAGCTGGTGTCCTCATATTATTATAGTGTGTCCCCGATGTATTTGGCCATAGACCCCTTTTTAACCTCCATGCCCTGAGCTGTGAGGTACCTATAGGCCTGCCAGCTCTGACTTCCAGAGACCTGTGGCCCTGGGATGTGTGCCAGGTGTCGCCTGGCTGTCCCACGAGGGGTAGAGAGCACATGTGGGCTAGGTCCTCTGGGAGCTTGTGGCCCAGTGGGGCAGGCAGGACTGTCAATGCCCACTTGCACATGCAGGCACATAGACCCACCCCTGAGAAGGTCATCATTCCCTGGAGACCCAGGGTACCTGGAGCATTCACATTCGTCCCTGGGGGGGGGGTATGTAGGAAGGGAAGGGAGGTACAGCCTGAGATGAGGCAGCAGGGCAGGGAAGGAGGGGGCAGAGTCAGGTGCGGGACGGTTATTTCCTACAAGCAGCCCCTGCACACAGGCAGATTGTCCCCCCAGGAATCAAGGAAGCCCATTTAAACCCCCTACCCTCTGCCCACTACCTAAGCAGAAGGGCCTCTCCTTGCCACCTGCCCCTTGTTGGGTGCAAAGAATTCTGGCCTAGGGCACAGGGACCTAGGTTCTAGTTCTGATGCTGTGAGGGTCACTGCTCCCTGGGCCTCAGTTTCCCTATCCATGAAATGTGGGCCTTGGATACGCTGGTCTGTAAGTTCCCTCTGGCTGGTGTAGTTCTATAATTTGAGGGTCCTGCTTCTAGGTAGGGGTGTGACAACTCCACCTGGTGGGCCTTCCTCTATCACAGACCTAGGGGTGACAGGAAAAACCAGAAGCCAGCAGTAAATGGGCTGGTTCTGACCCTATAGCCAAGTGGCTTCCGCAGGAGGTGCCCTAGATAGAGCAGGGCAGTGAGGTGAGAAAGCTGGCACAGCCAGCGGACTTCAGGCCACCAGCTGCTGCCCAGGAAGGGTTGCTGGGTGTGAGTCGGGCACCAGCTGGCCCCCTCTACCACTAGGGGCCATAAGAAAACCCATTCCAACCCCAGCCTAGGGCTTGAGATCACACACAGGAAGACCTACCTCATCCAGTTCCGTTTAGCAAATTTGTCCAAACCCTCACCCATTTTAGTTCAAGACATGATACATGCCTGTGGCTAAAAAAAAAAAAAAAAAGAAAGAAAATTGTAAGGAACAAAAGAATAGGTGAGAAGTAGAGGCCCCTCCTTCTGTCTCACCATCCCCTCCCCAGCTCCCTCCCTATCCCCAATCCACTCCCCAAGGCAATTGGTTCATTTTTTTTATATATCCTCTCAGGAAGATCTATGCAAATACAAACATATATTTGTACATGTAAATATTTAAATATAATGGATCTGATCCAAGAGTCTCAACCCCTTGAGGTACAAACATGAAATAGTTTTATTTTTCCAATAACTGCTCGGAAATTCATTTTGCCTACGTTGTGTTTCCCACAGGATAACAGGCTCCCTTAATGATGTCCCCATGGAAGTCCCTAACTCCCCCCCCCCACACCGCTGTCATTAAGACGGTCTCTATCTCATTTGGGTTGCTAAGGCTCAACCCATTCATCTCGGAACTCCAGCCTCCTGTTTAACTAAAGCCCTTGGAGTGCCTGGCATAAGCCGCTGGGGGCTGCGGCTGCCTGCCCTCCACACCCCTTCCCTTCACAGCCTCCACCAACCTCTCTCAGCTCCTTCCTCCCTCCCGGCCTCCTCCCTCAGCACCACCGGGCAAGGGCTGCCAGCCAACCCATCACTCTGCACTGGGCACAGGCATTCCACACCGGGAGCCCAGCCTTCTTAGCACTGGGTCTTAGAGAATTGGATGACTGTCCTCAACCACAATCCCTGCCCTGCCTTCAACACTCCAGGGACAGGAGGAGCTCGAGATTTGGAGCCCCCCAGTCCTGACTTTTCCAAACACAAGCTGGCGGGGCACAGAGTGTGGGTCCACAGCTCACCCAGCACACTGTGTCTGTCGATCACTCTGGGGCACAGAGGAGGGGTGGCACACGCTGCCCTCCGAGCCCGTAGCCTAGCCCAGAGACAGAAGCCAGGGGACAAGGGGGCCATGGGAGCTCAGAGAGGCCGCTGACCGAGCTGGGGGTGGAGAAGGGCTTTCTGGAACAGTGATAGTTTAAAGATTTATTTATTTATTTATTTATTATTATTTATTTACTTACTTACTTACTTACTTACTTACTTACTTATGACAGAGCATGAGCAGGAAGAGGGGGAGAGAGAGGGAGAAGCAGACTCCCCGCTGAGCAGGGAGCCCAAGATCACAACCTGAGCCAAAGGCAGATGCCCAACTGACTGAGCCACCCAGGCGCCCCTGGGACAGTGATATTTTAGAACACTGTGGTTACTTTCCCTGAGCCAGAGCTTCTCAAGTATGCATTTTGGGGGAGATGCTTTTAGGCAAAAGTTTGCAGCAACTTTCTTTTCTGAAACTTCTTGCTAAGAGCACACTGACTGACTGCCCCTTTAGCAGGTAATAGGCCAGATGTCAAGGCTGCTGCCTGCCACAGGTGCTGAAATGGCCTCGGGGCCCTCTCTGGGTGTGTCTGCTTGTGGGAGTGGGGGCTGGCAACCTCTCAGTGACTGTGACCCAGGAGATGGGGGTAATCCCAGGGAGGGGGCACCCGTGAGTCTGTGCTGTTCCAGCAGCCATGAGGGCCTGACCTAGCCCAGGCCTCACTGCAAGTAGCTTGAATCTATCCATCCCAGCTCCTCGGCCTAGAAAAGCTTCCCCAGGGAAAGGGCCTGGGATACCTGGACATTCAACCAACATTTATTGATCTAATCCACAGATGGGCACAGCACAAGGGGTGCAGGGCAATAAATCACACCTGGACACAGCCCTCTAGCAGCTCACTGCGGAGCAAAAAGTAAGTTCCCATAGTACACGGGGACTGAGAAGCAGCCAGCCTGGGATGGGTACCCACACGGAACAAGCAAGGAGATGGGGGGTGGTCATTCCGGCTGGCCCGCCTTGGGTCTTACCTTGGAAGCTAGTGGTGTCTAGACAGGTGGGGATCAAGGTAGAGGGTGGGGTCTAAGGAACCACCAGGTAGCAGGAACTGCATGGCCATAGGTATTGCAGAGGGATTGAAGGATCGGGTTGGGAGTGTGGGAGGGAGAGAGGAGCCATGCTGACCCAACTGCCATAAGCCACCCACTCCTGGCTCACACAGATCTGTTCCTCGACATTGGAGTCAGCCTCAGGGATTTGTCGGTAGGCCTGGGTCAAAAGCAAGTATCTCTAGGATCCAGGCTGCTCCTTATATGAAGAGAAGCAGCCGTATCAGTACTTCACAGAGAAACGTGTCCTCTTGGCGGGTTCTTGAAACATAAGACCTTCTTAGCATATTGCCTGCTTCCCACTTTCGTTAGCAGCGTGGATCTCTACTTGAGTGAAACAGGAGGATAAATGGCCTCTCACGCTTGGCCTCAGCACACTAGGGAGCGATAGGGAGTAGTGGAGACTGTAGCTCACTGGAGGCCACACAGCCCCCTGGAGGGGAAGGCCCTCGCCTTCTCCTGGCTCAGATTCATGGTTGCTCGGCAGGAGTGAGTGCCCAGGACTGCTCTACCCTTCTGCTTTTAGAAAACAGAAAACAGGATTAGGATTAGTATGTGAGATTGTTCCATTTGGCTAATTGTTGGCCCTATGTTTTCAAACACCATGTAGGTCAAACGAGACCCACCCAGTTCGGGATCTGCTGGGCAGTGGTGGGCTCTAGAAAGGCGTTGAAGCAGGGGAGGGTCAGGCTCAGAGCTGCTTCGGTTCAGGGGTGTGCTGGCTGGGACAGTCCTGAGCCCCTGGCCCTCGCTACAGACTGCCCAGAGGCCCCCTGCCTCGGCACCCCTCCTGCATCCCTCTGTGGGATGGTGGCCTCAGCTGGCCCTCTTCCCAGAGCTTCTGCACTGCCCGACGAACCCCAGGGCAGGGCTTAGCTGCCAGGCCCTGGGGTGCCTGCAATTCCCCTACCACCAGGTTCCCAGGGACAGATGCCCAGTGTTCAGACCAGTAAATATCATGATTACCCAAGGGGGTTACAGTGGGCAGAGGCTGTCCCTGAGAACTGCAGGGCTTCACCGGGATCCACTTCAC